TTCAGCCTGATCCCTGCAGGCCAGGCCAAGGGACCCCACCTGCTGGAGGGACCCTGTCCACTCCGCAGATGCCCTTTGAACTCAGGCATTTGCCCCAGATGCGACCAGCTGGGGAGGGACAGCAGGAGGTTGGCTTCAGGGCATGTCCAGCCCGTCTCGCCCAGTCCCGCCCCGCCATTTCCTTTCAATGTGAACGAATCCGTGCACCAGGCATCTAGTATAACAATAGCCAGTTGATCGCCCTGTTGTGGAGATCGAATAACTAAGCACAATAACACGATGGAGTCATTATCTGGTAAGCTTCAGTCCTTTGTGAGGATTGACTTCCTCTCTTCTCTCTCTCTTTTTGCATCACATTCCAAAATTTGAATTATTTTAAAGTTATAACAGTGAAATTTGAGTTTTTGGAAATGTGGCAGCTACTGGTAAAGAAAACTATCATTAGTTTCAGAAGATTCAGTAAATTTAAAACATCTGTGGTTATGTCTGAGCAATTACAAGAGTCTTTGATGTGAAGCTGGTCTGAAGCTAGAAACCGGAAAAAGCACTTTTCTTTTTTTTCCCCAGAGAGGCATGAGCTGGACTTTATTTTTGCCCAGATCAGGGGTGGGCAACCCCTGGCACGCATGCCAAACATGGCACACCAATAACTTTTGCTGGCACGTGAAACCCTCTCTTATAATCTTCCATTTACAATTTTTGTGAACATTTGAATGACTTAAATGTTAAATTACAAGGAACTGGCAAGACACTTGATGTTATGTTTGGCTACATAAAGGCTTTTGAAAAGAAACTGGAAGTCTTTAAGAGGGATGTGGATGGTGAGAGATTTAGATATTTCCCAAACCTCAAGAGGCACATCAAAGACCTCCCAACAGATGACAGAACAGACTGTCAAAGCCTTCAAAAGCTGGTTTTAAACATCATCGAGTCATCGATTATTTCAAGGTTCTTCACATACGTACACCTTAAGAGATATCAAGTAGGCGTAACATGTTCTCAGAAAATAAGGGTTGGCATGCAGAAGATTTTGCTGGTTTGGGCACGCACTCACAAAAAGGTTGCCCACCCCTGCCCTAGTGATTCCACGTCTAGGTACATATCCAAAGAAATCCAAAACACTTCTTCGAAAGAATATCTGCACCCCTATTTCAATGCAGCAGTATTTACAATAGCCAAGCTATGGAAGCAACACAAGTGCCCATCAAAAGACAAGTAGCCCTAACCGGTTTGGCTCAGTGGATAGAGTCTTGGCCTGTGGACTGAAGGGTTCCAGGTTCGATTCCAGTCAAGGGCATGTACCTTGGTTGTGGGCACATCCCCGGTGGGGAGTGTGCAGGAGGCAGCTGATCGATGTTTCTAACTCTCTGTCCTTCTCCCTTCCTCTCTGTAAAAAATCAATAAAACATATTTTTTTAAAAAGACAAGTAAATAAAAGATTGTGGAACATGCATACAATGGAATATTATTCAGCCATAAAAATGGAATATTATTCAGCCAATAAAATCTTACCATTTGCAATACGTAGAGGGTATTATGCTAAGAGAAATAAGTCAGAGAAAGACAAAACCGTATGATTTCACTTATATGTGGAATGTGACATAACCAAAAGATATGAACAAACAGAATTTAATAGATGTAGACAACAAACTGATGGTTGCCAGAGGGCGGGGGGTTGGGAGTTGGGTGAAAAAGGTGAAGGGATCAAGTACAAATAGGTAGTTACAAAGCAGTCACAGGGGTGGAATGTACAGCCTGGGGAATGCAACATCATAACAACGGGTATGGTGTCAGGTGGGTATATGAAATATCGGGGGATCACTCTGTAACGTATATGATTGCCTAACCAATAGGCTGTACACCTTGTACACCTAAAATACAAAATAATATCGAATGTTAATTGTAATTAAAAAATAAAATTTTTAAAGAAGAGCCAGGCTTTCTGAGAGGGAAAGTAATAATGGCAACATTTATTGAGCGTTTACTGTTCGCCAAGCACAGAGAGTCAACCGTGAGGGACACGCTGCTGCCTCTTTTGCACAGACGAGGAAACCAAGGCACAGAAAAGGGAATCGCCTTGCCCAGGGCACACAGCAGAGCTGGGACTTAAACCCAAGGAGTCTGGCTCTGGAACCCACGCTCTCGCTCTCGGGGGCAAGTCCTGTTTACAATGGTCTGGCTTTGAGTTTCAAGGTCAAAGGATGGCCCTCCCTCACTCTGCCCCAAGGCGGGACTTGGAGGCGAAACGTCAGGGATGAGGGTTGGTATATGAAATAGGGCGTGCCTGGGTCACAGTGGGGGCTCAACCAGTATCTGTTGGACAGGCTGCCTGGGCAGCACCAAGGGGTCCAGAAAAGGAAAGAGAGGGGCTCCCTAGAGGCAGGTCAGGGACCTGAGAGA